GAGCCGAAAGGCAAAGCTCTCGATTTACCGGTCAATCTTCGTTCCCTCCCTCACCTATGGTCATGAGCTTTGGGTAATGACCGAAAGAACGAGATCGCGGATACAAGCGGTCGAAATGAGCTTCCTCCGTAGAGTGGCTGCTCCCTTAAAGATAGGGTGAGGAGCTCGGTCACACGAGAGGAGCTCGGAGTAGAGCCGCTGCTCCTCCACGTCGAGAGGAACCATTTGAGGTGGCTCGGGCATCTGTTGCGGATGCCTCCTGGACGCCTCCCAGGGGAGGTGTTCCGGGCACGTCCCACCGGGAGGAGGCCCCGGGGAAGACCTAGGACACGCTGGAGGGACTATGTCTCTCAGCTGGCCTGGGAACACCTTGGGGTCCCCCCTGACGAGCTGGAGGAAGTGTGTGTGGATAGGGAAGTCTGGGCGTCTCTGCTTAGACTGCTGCCCCCGCGACCCGGCAACGGATGAAGCGGAGGAAAACGGACGGACGGATATTCATATTTCTCTACAGATTTAATCATATAAATAACAAATATAATATTCATATTTCTCTACAGATTTAATAAATATAAATAACAAATATAATATTCATATTTCTCTACAGCAGTGTCTCCAAAGTGGGGTCCGCGGCCCCCTGGTGGGCCGCGAGGGTACTGCAGGGGGGCCGCGGGAGGTCATAAAAAAAATATATATATATATTTAATGTTAAATTTATAATGTTTTGTTTGTAATATTAAAATATTTGTGTTCATTATTTGACTTGAATAATCCACTGTAATCATTTTTGTATTACAATGTTTGTAGCAGAGGCTATTTCCCAAAATAAAATAACCAGAAGAGCCTATTCTTAATGTTGTCTTCTTGGTTATTATTTTGGGGGCCACGCAGACCCGTCAGATTTTTAAGGGGGCCTCGGTGTTACTGAGTTTGGGAATGGCTGCTCTACAGATTTAATAAATATAAATAACAAATATAATATTCATATTTCTCTACAGATTTAATAAGTATAAATAACAAATATAAATGTGACGGGGTGAGCCCGTCCCTGAGCACGCTGACCCACGGAGCGGGGCAGTTACATCTAGTTACATGCGTCATTCACTCGCCTGTCCTGGCGTGGTCGTGGCGTCTCCTGGTGCGTTTTGGCAAACCTGGACATAAGGAGCCAGGGGATTAAATGCACCTGTCTGTGGGTCATGTGGACCACAGCTCATTTGCATGGACATTTCTGATTTATGTGTAGCATGAAATGCATTTTATTGCGTGAATGTACAAGTGTAAATCCATGAAATCATAAACCTAGGGAAGTACTCATGTATTGTAGATATGATGTTTTATCAGGATGATTGATTGGAAATGTGGGAGGGGCCAGCAGGGTACAAAAGTTGCTTGTCTGCCCCATGGGAGTCGTGACTATTACAGTGAAGGTAACGTGGACTGCAGGAGCGAAAGTGAAGGGAAAAGAGACTTACTGTAGAAGTCGTGTATATTTTTATTTATATTTATATATCCATCCATTTTCTACCCTTTAATCCATTTCTGGGTCAGGGGGGTGGCAATCAGAGATGCCACCCAAGTCTCATAGCACCACCACTTTATTTATATATTTATATTTTATATATTTTTGCCTGTAGACATTTCACTGTGCAATGCAAATACGTTTTTTGTACATTTCCCACTGTTTTTTCTACTGAGTTTTTATTAAAAAACCTGTTACAACGCCCTTTCCCTACCCAGCCATGTGTTTTGTGAAAAGAACCCTCACAATAATATTGATATTTCTCTACAGATTTAATACATATAAATAACAAATATAATATAATATTAATATTTGTGGTAAAATAATTTTAAATGATATAATATTAGGCTTTTCTGACGCGGAGGGTCTACTGGTGGTTTGTTGAACTTGGCTCAGAATTCACACTTTTGTATTTGTTTTAACACATACAGATGCGATTTCAAGGACCCAGACTAAGATCATGCTCCAGATGAGCAGTGACTAATTCACCCTCGCTGTGTGAAGGAGAGGTTTCGCAGGTCTTTCCTTCCTGCTGCTGTCAGACTGTACAACGAGAATGTGTAACAGGAACTGCTGAGTCTGCACAAGTGTTTCTGATAATTCACTAGTAACTTTGTCACTAGTCACTTTACCTGTTATCAGTACTACTGCAGTACTACATATCTGATATTTACTGTTATCAGTACTACTGCAGTACTACATATCTGATATTTACTGTTATCAGTACTACTACAGTATTACATATCTGATATTTACTGTTATCAGTACTACTGCAGTACTACATATCTGATATTTACTGTTATCAGTACTACTACAGTATTACATATCTGATATTTACTGTTATCAGTACTACTACAGTATTACATATCTGATATTTACTGTTATCAGTACTACTGCAGTATTACATATCTGATATTTACTGTTATCAGTACTACTGCAGTATTACATATCTGATATTTACTGTTATCAGTACTACTGCAGTATTACATATCTGATATTACTGTTATCAGTACTACTGCAGTATTATATATCTGATATTACTGTTATCAGTACTACTGCAGTATTACTTATCTGATATTACTGTTATCAGTACTACTGCAGTATTACATATCTGATAATTCTGCCTTTCACCGTCACTTTACCTGTTGATATTATTTCTGATGTTTATTCTGCTCATATTCATATTCTCTGCAGCTAATGTATAATATAGACATCTGTAAATACTTCTGAACCAAGTGCAATTATAGCCCAGAGTTTATCTTATTTTATTTTATCTTAAATTTATTGTCTATTATCTTAAATAATAGACTTTGATGTGTGCGTCTGAGTCTTATCTCCTTTCTCTGCTGTAATGTGCAACGATGACACTGAAATGTCTCCACTGTGAGACTAATAATGGTTTATCTTATCTTAGATGACAGCGAACATGTCCGAGAAGACGATTAGAGACACGTTTTTACGAGCAGTAAGTTCACAAATGTCTGAGTAACTGATGTACAGAAGTCTGGATGTTCATTATCGTCCTCACAGCTGGAAGAACGCTTGGGCCCGGGGTTCTGAGTGAAGTGGCACCGTCTGCCCACAAGGAGATGAGTGATGTCACCGCACACAGGCAAACACCGTACTATCGATCTCTGGAGCAAAGCTGGGGATTAAGGCTGCCCTCTGGTTCACTTTAACTGGTTCTGGTTCACTTTAGCTGGTTCTGGTTCACTTTAGCTGGTTCTGGTTCACTTTAACTGGTTCTGGTTCACTTTAGCTGGTTCTGGTTCACTTTAGCTGGTTCTGGTTCACTTTAGCTGGTTATGGTTCACTTTAGCTGGTTCTGGTTCACTTTAGCTGGTTCTGGTTCACTTTAGCTGGTTATGGTTCACTTTAACTGGTTCTGGTTCACTTTAGCTGGTTCTGGTTCACTTTAGCTGGTTTTGGTTCACTTTAACTGGTTCTGGTTCACTTTAGCTGGTTTTGGTTCACTTTAACTGGTTCTGGTTTACTTTAGCTGGTTCTGGTTCACTTTAGCTGGTTTTGGTTTACTTTAACTGGTTCTGGTTCACTTTAGCTTGTTCTGGTTCACTTTAGCTGGTTCTGGTTCACTTTAGCTGGTTCTGGTTCACTTTAGCTGGTTTTGTTTCACTTTAGCTGGTTCTGGTTCACTTTAGCTGGTTCTGGTTCACTTTAACTGGTTCTGGTTAAAGTGAACCAGAACACATGTGTGATACTTCTGAATAGATCCAGACGTCTCTGGGATCAGATTTACCGTAGTAAATAACTCTTCATTTATAACTAGCAGATTAGCACAGGTGACCAGGAAGGACCAGGAAGGACCAGGAAGGACCAGGAAGGACCAGGAAGGACCATGAAGGACTTTCAAAGTCCAAGTCTGTCAAAGTATAGTTCCCCGATTTGTTCACAGAGAATTGCTTTTACTAAACTATTTATTTGAAGCTAAGAAAAAAAATATACAATTTCTGAACAAAGTTAGGTACCTCAGCTTTAACTACACGTGCACTGCAATTGTATTTATTTATTTTCTTCTTCCAGGTGGATCATCTAAACTATTGGTCCTCCTAATTGTCAATCATTCTGGTGATATGGGAGACACGTTTTAATCCGCGATCCCTCTGAGGAGTGTGCTTCTTTCCTCAAATAAACCTTTAACTTGTTTCTCATCGTGGTCTCAGAAACAACCATTTACAACCTAATACACTGCTGACATCTAGTGGACAAATGCAGAATAAAGGTTTTTCTTCAAAGTCATCATTCACACCGACAAAGTTGTGATTTTTAAACAAATGATTTACAAAAAACAGCCGGTATAAGAATTATTGTATGTGGCTTAGTTTATGATAAGATCTGGAGCAGTGTTGATTCAATTATACAAATAAAGTTGATGTTTTTCAAATGATTGATTGTTCCATTTGCCTGAATTAATCTATTAATTCACTAAATAAGTGCTTTGAGTGAAACCAAACATATTTAAATGTGTAAAAACAGCAGTTTTTGGGTTGAAGCAGTTATTGTAAACTGTAACAAATGTATGTAAAATTACAATGAAATTTCAACATTAGACAAATGTTATTTTGAAAAACAAATTACAAAAAAACGTTACAATACCATAAAATCATTGTGTGGTAAAAATGTAATGACGTAATGAAAGATGTCACAGAATTATTCTTGTGCATTTATCAGATGAGAATACTTCAAATGAACTTATAAAACAACTATGATCATGTTTGATTATTATGAACCAGATATCATTTACCATTAATAATGAAACATATCATTTACAAACATTTATTATTAACAATTCACACACATTTAAACAATTAACACACAAAATACATCAGATTATAACAAATAACTCAAAAAATAAATCCAATTATAGCAAATCATAATATCAATAAATTGATCAAAACAATTACATCCAGAAATACAGTAAATCCAAACAATTCACTCAAGAAATCAACTCATTAAAAATCAATCAACTCTCCTCTTCATCCTCTGAGTCTGTCTCCACTAGGTCCTGTGGTTCTGGTTTGAACGGCTCCACTAGATCCTGTGGTTCTGGTTTGAACGGCTCCACTAGATCCTGTGGTTCTGGTTTGAACGGCTCCACTAGATCCTGTGGTTCTGGTTTGAACGGCTCCACTAGACCCTGTGGTTCTGGTTTGAACGGCTCCACTAGATCCTGTGGTTCTGGTTTGAACGGCTCCACTAGGTCCTGTGGTTCTGGTTTGAACGGCTCCACTAGGTCCTGTGGTTCTGGTTTGAACGGCTCCACTAGGTCCTGTGGTTCTGGTTTGAACGGCTCCACTAGGTCCTGTGGTTCTGGTTTGAACGGCTCCACTAGATCCTGTGGTTCTGGTTTGAACGGCTCCACTAGATCCTGTGGTTCTGGTTTGAACGGCTCCACTAGATCTGCGGGTGGTTCTGGTTGGGGCCGGTTCCCTTGGTCTGGCGCTGCGGGTGGATCTGGTCCAGGCCGGTCCTGTTGCCCTGGCGGTGCGGGTGGGTCCAGTTCATTCTGGTTCAGCGGTCCAACTTGTATCGGCGGGTCTGGGGCCTGGCTCCTGCTCTCCTCCAGCGCCTGCATTACCGCCGCCACGATGAGGTTAAACAGAATGAACTGGACCAGGACCACAAAGGTGACGAAGACCAAGGGGGCGGCCCAGATGAAGTAATCGAAACAGTGGCGCTCCTGAGGCCGACACGGTCTCATTGTGTCCTGAAAGAAACGCAGACATCATCAGAACCATCGACAGAACCTCTTTGGCCTGCTCTAGATTCAGAATGACAACGTTAGCTTAGATACCTTCAGGATTCCGCTCCAGTTGTCCCCGGTGGAGATTTTGAAGAGCACCAAGAGATTTTCAGCAACGCACTCTGAAAAAAAAACACACACGCACACACAACCAGTTTCAATATGTATTTCCTCACAACATTTGGTAAATCATCAATATCCAATGTCAAGTTTTCTTTTGGATTTAATAAAATACGGTTTGAGAACATACCCAGTGCTCCAAAAAGCTCCAGGCACAGGACGGCGTAGATGTAGAAGAAGAAAGCGAGGAGCAGGCCCAGGCTTCCACACTGCAAACACAAAGACATGTGACCTGTGACCGTACACCAGATGTTGCGGACCGCTCACCTTCTTCAGGGTCTTCCCAATGGTCCTCATCAATGTGCTGCCCTTTATGACCTTCATCACTGGAAACACAATATAGCAGCACATGTGAACTTGGATGCAGGAGCTGGAGGCCCCGGGCGTTACCATGGAGACCACTGCTCCTGACCGACTCCTCAGTACTATATGGAGGACATGCAGAGGACCTTAACTGTGAGGAGCTCAGAGTAGAGCTGCTACTCCTCTGTGTGAACCTAGTCTGTCACCAGTCCTGGGAACACCTCTGCAGTGCCCAGGACGAGCTGGAGGAAGTCTGAAGATGCCAGCCTCTCTCTATATGTGTCTGTCTATCTATTAATGTTTTTAATAACAATTACAATAATAATGCATCGATTTTATAAATCGCTTTTTTGGACACTCAAAGACGCTTCACGTCATTATCCTTTCACTCCAAACACGGTGGTGATAAACTACTGCTGTGGCCCCAGCTGCCCTGGGGCACACTGACAGAAGCGAGGCAACCAGTCTGTGCCATCAGCCCCTCCCACCACCACCAACCATTCACACACACACCAGACTCATTCTAATGTGGGGGAAGTGTCTTGCCTAAGGACACAACCACACAACCCTTTACAGCCGCCCCACTGTAGCTGGTGTTCCCAGAGGTTAAGTGTCTTGCCAAGGACACAACGACAGCAGACAGTGGGAGTCGATGGTGAAGGTTGGAATAGATAGATATAGTTCACATGACACGTCACATGACATGTGTATATAGTACACATGTGTATATAGTACACATGTGTACTATATACACATGTGTATATAGTACACATGTGTACTATATACACATGCGTTGTCATGTCTGCAGTGTGTCTTGTTGGCATTTTACACCTTAACTCTGGGGCTACAGTTGGAAACAGTTGTATCGCTAACACTGACACATTTACAGAAGTGTTGATCAATGGTACTGTCCCTGTTCAGACAAACGTCCGTCCGTCCGTCTGTCTGTGGCGCACCGCTTGCCTTAATACAAATAATAATAATCTTCCTACTGATAGCGTAGTGTTTAAATCTCTGGACTGGGATTCTGGCAACTGGGGTTCGATTCCCAGGTTCAGATTCTACTGTCTTTGGGTTAGTTTGGTGAAGATTGTTTTATGCTCAGTTTACATTATTACTGTTTCATAACTGTGACAGGCAAATTAGTTTGAAAATACACACAATATGAACTCTATAGCGCCACCTATAGGAGGCTTTGAACCTAAAAATAAACTGCATAAAAAAGTCACTGGGTCAAATCTTTAAATCCATACAAGCAAAAATGTTACATTACGCAGAGGGTGACTGTCCCACAGATGACCACTAGGGGTGAACTATAGCCTGCTCTCCTGACCACAGGCTCAGACCTACAGAGCTGAAACTCACATCACTAATACTTGGCAATGACCTGAGCGTAATGGTGTGAAAATACACACCTTATATGACTCTACAGCGCCACCTATGGAAGGTTTCTGACCTAAGCTTTTCCGATCCTCACCAAAGTTGCACAATCAAATCTTTACATCTGTACGAGCAAAATACTGCTCTACATAGAGGGTGCATGTCCCGGACGTGACCACTAGGGGCGCACTTTATCCTATTTACCTTATCTTCTTTTTATCCTGCACTATTTAACTGTACAGTATAACTGCACTACTACATATATATATTTTGACTGGTATTGAAGCATTTTCAGCATCTACAGCTAGTTATGTTAGCTAAGAAACATAGCTACTACTTATTTGTATATATTGTGTGTGCTCCCTGTGTGCTCTTATGTAAGTAATCCTGGTCAGATCAGGCTGCCAATTCGTCGGCGAGTACGCCGCGGGACTGGCGCCCGGGAGGCGGTGGCAAGAGTGACGAGGCCTTTCATCGCCGCTTGCTGCTTTAATTATTATTATTATTAGGCCTACGTATTGGCTCGGCCTATCGTTATTTGCCGGTTTCATATTATTATTCACTTTTTTTCCGCCGAAACAATTAGATTTTTTCCCCTGAAGACATGCACGAAAGTCTGCAGATGGGGGGTCTAAAACGACCGGTTTGGCGAAACATTTGATAAAACGAACGTTTCAAGATTGACCGACAAACTGCCTGAGACGTACTCAGTGAATGTCTCAGGCAGTGGCGAGATGAGGAGGTGCTGGAGGAGAGCCCATCATGGGAGAACAAGCCCCTACACGGCATGTACCACCGGAGCATAACAGAAGTGGCTGATCTCAAGAAGTCCTACCAATGGCTAGAAAGGGCTGGCCTACAGGACAGCACAGAGGCACTCATCATGGCTGCACAGGAGCAGGCCCTGAGCACCAGAGCGATAGAGGCCCAGATATACCACACCAGACAAGACCCAAGGTGTCGGTTGTGCAAAGAGGCACCTGAGACGATCCAACACATAACTGCAGGGTGCAAGATGCTGGCAGGGAGGGCCTACATGGAACGCCATAACCAAGTGGCTGGCATAGTGTACAGAAACATCTGTGCAGAGTATGGGCTGGAAACCCCAAGGTCTAAGTGGGAAACTCCTCCAAAGGTGGTGGAGAATGAGCGTGCAAAGATCCTGTGGGACTTCCAGATACAGACCGACCGAATGGTAATGGCGAACCAACCTGACATCGTGGTGGTGGACAAAGGGCAGAGGACAGCCTTGGTGGTAGACAAAGGGCAGAGGACAGCCGTGGTGGTAGACAAAGGGCAGAGGACAGCCGTGGTGGTGGACGTGGCAATTCCAAGCGATGGTAACATCCGGAAAAAAGAACATGAAAAGCTTGAGAAATACCAAGGTCTCAGAGAGGAGCTGGAGAGGGCCTGGAGGGTAAAGGTGACAGTAGTGCCCGTGGTGATCGGTGCACTCGGGGCAGTGACCCCGAAGCTAGAAGAGTGGTTACAGCGGATCCCTGGAACAACCTCGGACATCTCTGTCCAGAAATGTGCAGTGCTAGGAACAGCAAAGATACTGAACCCTCAAGCTCCCAGGCCTCTGGTAGAGGACCCGAGCTTAGAGAGGGATAACCGCCCGCGGAGGGCCAAAGGTGAGTGGACAATTTTTTAAATATATATATATATATATATATATATATATACACAGTGCCTTGCGAAAGTATTCGGCCCCCTTGAACCTTTCAACATTTCGCCACATTTCAGGCTTCAAACATAAAGAATATAAAAAATTTACTTTTTGTCATGAATCAACAAGTGGGACACAATCGTGAAGTGGAACAAAATTTATTGGATAATTTATACTTTTTTAACAAATAAAACACTGAAAAGTGGGGCGTGCAATATTATTCGGCCCCCTTGCGCTAATACTTTGTAGCGCCACCTTTTGCTGCAATTACAGCTGCAAGTCGCTTGGGGTATGTCTCTATCAGTTTGCACATCGAGAGACTGGAATTCTTGCCCATTCCTCCTTGCAAAACAGCTGGAGCTCAGTGAGGTTGATGGAGAGCGTTTGTGAACAGCAGTCTTCAGCTCTTTCCACAGATTCTCGATTGGATTCAGGTCTGGACTTTGACTTGGCCATTCTAACACCTGGATACGTCTATTTGTGAACCATTCCATTGTAGATTTGGCTTTATGTTTTGGATCATTGTCCTGTTGGAAGATAAATCTCCATCCCAGTCTCAGGTCTTTTGCAGACTCCAACAGGTTTTCTTCCAGAATGGTCCTGTATTTGGCTCCATCCATCTTCCCATCAATTTTAGCCATCTTCCCTGTCCCTGCTGAAGAAAAGCAGGCCCAAAGCATGATGCTGCCACCACCATGTTTGACACTGGGGATGGTGTGTTCAGGGTGATGAGCTGTGTTGCTTTTACGCCAAACATATCGTTTTGCATTGTGGCCAAAAAGTTCGATTTTGGTTTCATCTGACCAGAGCACCTTCTTCCACATGTTTGGTGTGTCTCCCAGGTGGCTTGTGGCAAACTTTAAACAAGACTTTTTATGGATATCTTTGAGAAATGGCTTTCTTCTTGCCACTCTTCCATAAAGGCCAGATTTGTGCAGTGCACGACTGATTGTTGTCCTATGGACAGACTCTCCCATCTCAGCTGTAGTTATCTGCAGTTCATCCAGAATGATCATGGGCCTCTTGGCTGCATCTCTGATCAGTCTTCTCCTTGTTTGAGATGAAAGTTTGGAGGGACGGCCGGGTCTTGGTAGATTTGCAGTGGTCTGATACTCCTTCCATTTCAATATAATTGCTTGCACAGTGCTCCTTGAGATGTTTAAAGCTTGGGAAATCTTTTTGTATCCAAATCCGGCTTTAAACTTCTCCACAACAGTATCTCGGACCTGCCTGGTGTGTTCCTTTGTCTTCATGGTTCTCTCTGCGCTTTAAATACAATACAATACAATACAATTTATTCTTGTATAGCCCTAGGTCACAACAGAAGTCATCTCAGAGACTTAACAAAACCATTGAAATCACCAACACAGATCAGAGAATCAACAGTTAAAACACATGAAGAATATAAAGCACACACAGAAGAAAATGTCCATACATGTTGTAGAATGCTAAAGTGTCCTGATCATCACCAATCCTTTCTGTTGGACACTAACTGTCCAACAAGACCCTCCTGCATCCACAAGGAAAAACTCTTAAAAAACCCAGTGGGAAAAAGTGAGAAACCTTGGGGAGAACTAGGGAAACCCACAGGGAGGGAGACCCATATGAGAAAGGGATCCGCTCCTCCGGACGGACAGGCTAATGATCTAGGACCTAAGCTAGCTACAGGACGTGGACCAGTGGCCGCTGAACGTGGACAGGTCCGGTGCAGGACCAAAGCACTCCCAGGCGGGTCGGGCGGGGCAGTCCGCAGGTGTAGATGGAGGAGGCCAGGCTCAGAGATCCCGTCATCGTACCATGAAACAGACAATGGGACAACGGGTGAATAGCAATGAACAAACTACAGTCAGAATCCTAAAAATGCTAAACAGATAAAGTAGGAAGGAGGAGAGGATAGTGCTCAAGTTACCATACTTCTCCCAGCAAACTGACTCCCTATGCAGCTTGACTGACACTCTGAGGAGTTTAGCCT